CCAGCCTGAGCAAGAGCTAGACCCCTGTCTCTATGAAGAAGAGAAAAAATTAGCCCCAGGTGTTGTGCTATGAGCCTGTAGTCCCAGCTACTCAGGAGGCTGAGGCAAGACGGTAGCTTCAGCCCAGGAGTTTGAGATTGCAGTGAGCTACGATGATGCTATGGCACTCTACCCAGGATGACAGAGCAAGATCCTGTCTCAAAACAAAAACAAAACCCCCAATCGATTGAGGGGGGTTTGTCCTTTCTTCTTTTCTCCTTTTCTGTTTTAGAAAAGTAGACACTTCATCATAAGGAATATCTTTGACTTTAAAAATAAAAAAGAAAAGTAGATACTTCATTGCAGTCTGCTGCCTTACTACAGGGTAAAACGGCACAAAGCAAGCTAAGATCATTACCACATGCTGATGAGCCAGAGGATTAGTACTCAGTCTTTTGTGCAGCTTCCCCATAATTAAAATCACATAAAAAGGGCAGGGATTCCAATGAGTATAACATGTTTTCTCACTTACCGGAAAGTTTGTGAGTAGCTACTACAAAGGATAACAAAACACAAAGCCTATTGTAGCAACAACTCTTTGGCCAAGTCATCTCCTGTCTCAACTCTCAGTGTTAACTCTAGGGCCTCTTCTTCCTTCCTACTCTTGTCTCCAAGAGGTTTGCTAACTTCTGATAGATGGAAAACATTCCCAAGATGAAATTAGATAGCTATAACTCCCCATCCCCCACTCCTTATAGGGTGAGATGAGCTTTGGTATCCTGATGGCTTGAGGATGGATCCTTGAGAGCAGGTGGACCTTGGAAGTTAAGACAGTTTTTCTAGACTGGGATTCTTGTTTTGTTTTGTTTTTTTAAGGCAGAGTCTCACTCTGTTGCCTGGGCTAGAGTGCCATGAAGTCAGCCTAGCTCACAGCAACCTCAAACTCCTGGGCTCAAGCGATCCTCCTGCCTCAGCCTCCTGAGTAGCTGGGACTACAGCAATTATTCCCTATCAAGTACCAGTGTTCTTGGATTCGAGAGTGATCTCCATCCTAAACACCCTGCATTACATATGATTTCTGTACCCAGCACAGAAAGACAAAACGGCCATCCATCATTTCTGCAGTTACCTAGTCTCATTACATTCTGCCTTTTCTCCCACTACCATGGGGCAGAAGTCTTATCATGTTTTCCAAAAGGCTCTTAGGACGTGTCGTGGAGTTGAATCGCTTTGGCCTTTGTGTGGGGTGCAACACACTAGTGGGCCGGGGCTTGTGTATTTGCCTGTACTGCTGCTTCATCGTGGTCAACTAACAGGCCCTGGGTTGCTCTACTGACGTTCCTCTAGTCGCCTGGTACAAACCCAGTAAAGCAGACCCTTTTCCCTTGGCCAAGGTTGGGATGTCTGTCTCAGACCTGGAGAGTTTTCTTGGATGAGCCAAGGACAGGAGAGGGTGTCATGCATTGGACAGGTCTTGGTGATAGTCATGACACTATGCCCAGTTAATTTTTTCTATGTATATATTTTTAGTTGTCTGGCTAATTTCTTTCTATTTTTAGTAGAGATGGAGTCTCAGTCTTGCTCAGGCTGGTCTCAAACTCCTGCCCTCGAGTGATCCTCCTGCCTCGGCCTCCCAGAGTGCTAGGATTACAGGCATGATCCACCACGCCAGGCCAGGGCTTCTTGTGGGTGTATGAATCAAGAATAGATATGATTAACTGACTCAAGACTTTCCTCTTATCATGTGTCTTCTGGAAAGTTACTTAAGATTATTTTTTTTTTTATTATTTTTTAAAGACTAGTCAAGTGCAGTAGTGAGGAGGGGGGAAAGTAGTAGAACAAGGAGTTCAATCTGTAACTGACTGTGAACAATCACGTGAGATAACTCACTACCTTCGGACCAGCCAGCCAGCATATGTGCAATTGCCCGTAGTCCAGCTACTTGGAGGGCTGAGGCAGAAGATACTGCTTGAAGCCGGAGTTTCGAGTTGTGTTGAGCTAGGCTGCACCTCAGTACTTTCTAGCCCAGGCAACAGAGTGACTCTGTCTCAGAAAAAAAAAAAAACAAGGAAGTTACAGATGAGTGTTGGGCTAGAAGTTTGAATTTTCTTATACTACAATTAGATATAACTCCATATCATTTCATATAGACGGTAGATCCAGAAGTGATGTGCTTGTTAATGATACTATGTTTTTGGTATCCGCGCGGTGGGCTCGACGCCTGTAATCTAGCACTCTGGGAGGTCAAGGCGGTTCGATGGTCAGAGTTCAAACCAGCCTGAGCAGAGCGAGGACCCGTCTCTACTATAAATAGAAAGATATTAATTTGGCTCAGACTGAATATATATAATGTAAATTAGCCGGGATCCTGGTGGCACGCTGTAGTCCCAGCTACTTGGGAGCTGAGGCGGCAGGATCGCTTGAGCCAGGAGTTTTGAAGGTTGCTGTGTGGCAGCGCTTGACGCCACGGCACTTCACTCTAAGCCTGGACACAAAGGTGAGGACTCTGCTCAAAAAAAAAAAAGTATATATATACTACTATCTTGTAAGTTTTGGGACATAATAATTTTAATTGATGTTTTAATGAATCTTGGTTCTTTTTTTAAAATAATGACTTTATTATGGTATGTGAAATATTATATATCTCAAGTAAAAAAATTATTCTTGACAGCCTCGGGAACCCGGCGCCCATCAGCGCCTGCGAAGTAATCCTAGCACTCTGGGAGGCCGAGGCGGGCGGATTGCTCGAGGTTGGGAGTTCGAAACATCCTGAGCGAGACCCGTCTCTACTAAAATAGAAAGAATTAATTGACCAACTAAAATATATATACAAAAAATTAGCCGGGCATGTGGCACATGCCTGTAGTCCCAGCTACTTGGAGGCTGAGCAGAGGATGCTTGGCCCAGGATTTGAGGTTGCTGTGAGCTTAGCTGATGCCAGGCACTCTCTACCTGGGCAACAAAGTGAGACTCTGTCTC